TCCCACTCTGGGGCAACATCCTGAAGCCCCAGCTGGGCGCTGACTTCCCCGACTGGGCCGCCTTGCCTGTCCCCAGCAGTGTACACGTGTGCTTACAGCAAAAATAAATCACAGCCACGGGGACTTTCAAGTGGCCTGGGGAATTTCTTCCAAGAGCGTGTGTGGACCGTGGTGGCCGTGGCTGAGGGGGTGGAGGTGGGCCCCCTGCGGCGGTCACCGCACAGAACACGCCTGGATCTGGGGTGCCATGGAGGCGACGGTTACTCCGAGGCAGAAAAGGGAGCCGAGGGCTAATGAGATCCTGACGACCAGGGCTGATCCCACTGGGTCCTCACCACAACCCGCAGGCAGGACACAGTCTCTCGTCCTGCAAGTGGGGGGACCCAGGCCCAGAGAGGCGGCCACTGGCTCAGTCACACTGGTGGGAAATGTCAGAGCTGCCATCTAGATGCCTGTAGAGTGATGCTACCTCCCAGCCTTTTTCTTTTTGCTGCAGGTTTGCCTCAAGGGCCAGCACTGGCCTGACTGAGGATGACCTGAGAGGGTGGTGAGGGCGGGCAGCCGTAGAACCCAGAGGCGGGGCAACGGGGGGAAAGCGGCGGGCAACACACAAAGGAAGGAAAGTCAGGCTTTCCCACGGCAGCAAATACACCAGATCCAACAGAGGAGTGTCTCCAGACTCAGGAGAGAAGCAGGCTGTGACAGTGCATGGTCTTCGTGAGTGCAGGCGGCAGAAACATGCTGAATGTGAAAGGGCTTAGAGAACATGCCATCCTTGCAACCAGCGTGAAAAAAATCCCTCAAAGACGAAACCCGGGTGACAGAGACATGAGTCAAAATGAAGAACAGAGGCTGGGGAAGGATTTTTGGTTCATGGGGACCCCAAATGTAAAACATCAGGCTGAATCCTGGGACAAGAAATGGCTTTTGAGTCCAGCAGGAAATCCCACCTTCCCAGAGTCTCCCTCAGCCGCTCCCCACCTGGGTGCTCTTTCCTGGGTCCTTAGAAGCCCGCTGACTCCACCTGCTTGATACTGACCAGGGTTCTTGGCCTTCCCCAAGCGATAGAAATTGACTAGAGGCCAGACAAGAAATTCAGGCAGGACTTATTGGGGCCCCTGCTGCAGCGGGTGGGAGGGGGTGGGTGAAAACAAGTAACAGTTTCCCTCGCTTGCCCCTCCCCCGCCCCGAGGAGGGGCGAGCTTGTTCCTTATATGGGGTGAGGGTAGGGGTGTCCAGGGATCCAGCCAGAGGGGTGGCTTAGGTGTTTTGCCCACCCCTCTGGTGGTGCTGAGTGCGGGGGGGCATGTGTAGTACACCACTTTTGCTCTCGACACCCTGTTTTTCCTCCCAGCTCTTCAAAAGTGGCAGTTGGGGTTTTTTTGGTCTTTTTGTCTGTAATTTGCCCCAGCTGCACACGCGCACAGTTTTATTTTTAGTCCCTTATAATTTCTTTGTAATTTGTAGCTGGAGGAGACGTTTGTCCAGGTGCAAGCACTGCAGCACTGCAGCAAAGGGTCCCAGGTCCCAGCCTGTCTCGTGCTCAGGACTGGTGGTTGGGTAAGACAGGAAATCACTGAAGAAACAACTCATAAATCCACTCAACATTTCATTTTATATGAAAACATGATTACGCATCGATTTACCGGTTTTTAGTAAGCAAGGCCTTTTCATTGAACATGGGCTTGCTGATTGCCTTTCTCGCACAAGCTAGCCCATCATTCATTCTCTATTTTGAAAAAAATAGGAGCGAGCACTTGGCTTATTTAAATAGTTTCATTCCAAAAGCAGTCAAGGTTCTTCGCAGAAAATGTGAAGGCTACTACAAAGAATAAAGAAAACACAAAAGCAGCACAGGATCCCACTGGTCAAAGGCAACCACCACTAGTAATCATTTGGTATTTTGCCTTCCAGATTTTTTCCGCTGTGTTATACATATGATTTAGTGCCCAGCTTTTTTTCCCACCTGGCCTGATATCAGAAGTGTTCTCTCTCTTTTGGTGAACTCTCTGGAGCGCATTTTTCACGTATAATATTTAATCAGTCCCCTGGTCCGCAAAGTTTTGGTTGTTTCTTATTTCCCTAATCGGAGGACAGGAGGCTTTCCCTGTCCTTTTGATTGTTTTCAGAAATACCAAGCAAAAAGTAAAGGGTATTTTTTTAGGTTCTTGATTTGCTTCATTGAATTATTCCAAAATAGAATGTTCTGGAGACAGGTTTGAGAGCCAGTCAACCTTCTGTGCCTGACCCTATTTGGAGAAGAACATCGAGGCTGTCGTCTGCCTGCCTTGCCCCTCAGTGTGTGACTGGCCCATTAAACTTTTGCAAACCAGACTGTTTTAATGTGGTCTGGGCTCCAAGGGTTCCTGAGGAAGCAGGTCCAGGCAGCCAGGGGCTGGAGACAGTGGACCTGGCATCTCACCAGATGCAAACTCCTACCAAGAGTGATGCCTCACTGAGTGCTTACGAGTGACCAGTCCCATTCCACTGATAAGGAAACTGAGGCTCCGAGGGGTTCAGGGACTTGGCAGTGAGCAGAGGCACAGAACTGTTGCCCCTGTGTCCCCTGGGCAGGCTTCAAGCTGGGTGTGTGGGAAGGTGAGCTGCTTGGGTGTGGCCTCCATCTGGCACAGTCTCCCCGTAGGCCGGGGACGTCATCTTCCAGGCTACAGTGGGGAGACCCACCCCAGCAGCAGAATGAACAGATTTAGAAAGCTGCTGGTCACAGACTGTCACAGTGGGAAAGACCTTACAAAATAACCTGTGTAATCACCCCCCTGCTTGCCCTACAGATGAGGAAACTGAGGCCCAGAGAGGGACAGCCACCTGCTCAAAGGCACATGCTGAGTCAGCGGTCCAGGGTAGGTCTAATAATAGTAATACTAACGATAGCAAAAGCAACTCTGATGGCAGCTACCGTGGGGGAACCCCAGCTCCGTGCCAGCCCCGGGGCTCAGCACCTGACAGCACGGAGGGGGACACGCTACTACTATCCCCGCCTTACAGATGAGGACACCAAGGTGCAGAGGGAAGTGGGGAGCTGGGGGTCAAGCCAGGTCTAACTGTCACCGCCCAGCCTTCCCACTGCCTGGCCCCAGGCTGACATTGGGGAGCCCTGAGGAGACAGCCCCATAGTTGGGGGACGGGGGTCAGAAGGGGCTCATGAGCGCGGTCTGCCTGATGCACTCGACCACAATCAACTTGGCTATTCTTTGGTCCTTGTCGTCTCTCTGGTGGCTCTGGGAGTTGTCACCTGCGTCCCCACCTAGGAGTCTGTGACCTTGGATACATCACTTTGCTGAGCCTCTGTTGCCTTGCCTATAAAATAGGCGTCACATCCCCTGGCAGGACAATTATGTGAGGATCAGGGAAAGAACCGCTGATCAGGGTGCAAACCTCCGTCATAAACTGTAAAGTGCAGTGCACACTGCCACTGAGTAACCGGCATCGTGGGGTTGTGTGCAGAGGGGTAGGGTCGGGACACTCATGCACGACTAGGGAGAGGCCACCTCCCTCTTAGAGCTTTAGTTTCCTCACGGTTAATATAGGGTTGGACTAAAAAAAATCTCTAGATGGCGAGATTCTTCCAGCTCGAAAATTCCACGGCCCGAACACATCTGGGGTACTTGGCAGTTTACAAAGCACTTTTGTATCTGCAGCCCCTGAGTTCGAATCCTACCCCATTCCCACCCACTTAATAGCCAATGACCTTGGCCAAGGCCCTTTCCCTAAACTTGGACAAGCCCCTTGCTGGAGTCAGAGCCTGTTTTGTTGTTTATTTAGATGCGGGCAAGGCTGCGAGCCCCGCCTTTCTTACAGGACTGAGGGAGGCGCTTCTGTTTCCGCATCTGTAAAATGGGGCTAGCAATGCCTGTCTAGAGTTGTTGTAAGGATTGAGTGAGGTGATGTTTGTTACGTGCTCTGGACAGAACTGGCATGTAGAAGATGCTATATGCGTTGCTGTCAACATCATCATCATCATTATTCATCCTTTCCAGAATACTTCCTGAGGCACCTGCCCTTGGCCAGGCCCAGCACTAGGAGATGGGGATACAGTGGAGGGAAGACTGAGACATTTATTGCAGTCAGAGCACTCCCAGCCTGGTGGGGAGAGAACCAATTAAACAAGCTCTTTACATAAATGTACTGAGAGCCATGAGAGCACAGAAGCTAAGGGCCTCTGTGCAGAGACCCTCAGAGTCCAGGAAGGCCTCCCGGAGGAGGTGATGTTAAGCTAGATCTGAAGGATGACCAGGAGTTGGACGGGCTCCTGCCCTGTGCAGCGGGGTGGGTGGGCAGGGAGGCAAGGCCCTGAGACACGGTTGCTGGGGCTCTGGGTAGGGCAAGGCGGGAATCAACTGTCACATTGTCAGGAATTTCATGAGCTCAGCTGGGCTTGAAATCAGCCACGGTGGGAATATTTACAACATGGAAATTTGCAGATGCTACCAGTTAGTGCTTTTCCCCACAACGAGGTCCAGTTGGTAACATGTGCCGGCACACCACTGCCTCTTCCTCCACTCGGTCGGCCTGAAGAAGCCCACCCTTGCCCAGAGGTCCCCAAGGGCGCACGCAGGGCAGCAGGAGCTCCTTCCTGTGAGCGCTGGTCCTGGGCTAGTCCGAGGGAACACCAGAGTGTTTATGGAAAAAACGTTTACCAGGAGTCCACCCGTGCCAGGGGCTCAACGGTGGTGAAGGAGTCATGAATGCGGCTCTCTGGGATGAGCTTTCCACGCCAGGACAGATAGTCCCAGGGTGCTGTACATCAACTACAAAAGGCAGAAACGAAGGAAAAAGGAAGCTGACAGACCTTTGCTTCTCAAGAGAAGCAGAGGCTTGGGGATGAGAGAAACTGTTAAGGTCTTTCTGTCTGCCTTCTGAGGAGTTGGGGATCACCTGAGACCCTGCAGTTGGAGGTACCAACCCCAGACCCAGAGGGCTTCCCTCCACTCTTCTGCCCTCCCTCTCTCCACCCTTTTCAAGGCTACTGATGCTTCACCTTCTCTGGAATCCATCCCCCTTCTATTTCCTCCTCCTATACCTCCCCCTCCCTCTCTCTCACCCTCCCCCCATCCTCCCTCCCTCCATCTCCTCCTACCTGCATCTCCCCCTCCCTCCATCCCCCCTCCATCTCAGGCACCGTCTCCTCTCCCACCTGGTTGCCACAGCCTCTAACTCCCTGCCTCCAGATTTAGCCGGACCCCTCATCGCAGCCAAAGCGATGGTGCCAGTCACCCAGCAACAGCGTCATGCTTTGGCTGTGTCAGGCGTCCTAGCAGAGAAGCCAAGGAAACAGAGCTGTACATGAGCGCTGCACAGTTGAGATCACCTGGTGCTCTTGGGCAAGGTCCAAATCTTCCCCAGGAATCCTCCCGTGCTCCCACCCTTGGGCATACTCCTGGTCACCTGGGAGACACCTGAGGGCAGGTGCCAGCTCTCGTTTACCACTGTCCTCACACCACAGAGACAGTGTCGTGAGGTTCCAGTGTCAAATCCCAGCTCCACCAGTTACTAGCTGTGTGACCCTAGACAAGTCACTTCACCTGTCTATGCCTCTGTTTTCTCATCTATAAAATGGGGATAATGATAGTACCTCCATTTAAGATAGGTGTGGATCACCTGAATTAATTCATGGGAAGCACTTAGACTACTGCTTGGCAATCAGAGTGAGACAATGGAAACTGGAATAGTTGCCTGGATAGTTGATGCTGCTAAGGATTTACTGTTGATTTCTTTTAGATGGAATAAGGGGTATGCGATTATGCTTTTTGAAAAAAAGAGTCCTTATCTTTTAGAGATGCACCCTGAAAGATGTACAGGCTAATGACAGGCATGTGAGATTTGCTTCAAATCATACAGAAGAGCTGGGGTGGGGTTTGGTATGGAAGAAACAAGATTGACCGTGACTTGACAATTATTGAAGCTGGGTGGTAGGTACGTGGAGTTTCATGATGCTAGTCTATCTACTTGTGTGCATATTCAAAACTTCCATAATACTAAGCTAAAAAACAAAGTCAAAAATCAAATCTGGGGGTCTGGCCTAGACCACCTGGGCTTAAAATCCCAGCTCCACCATGCAGGCTGTGCCTCGGTTTGCCCATCTGTAAAATAGGGATGATAATAATAATAGTTCCTACATGCAGAGGTCACTCTATAATGTACTTAGAAACATGCAAACAAAGTGGCAGGCACTTTACACATTGCTGCCAATCTTCACAACACCCTTTTCAGGGGAAGCTATGCCCATTTTACCAAGAGGCTACATCGGCTGCCCCAGGTCGTCCAGCCAGACAAAAACAAAGACACATCCCAGGCTTGTGTAGCTCTTGCGTCCAGGCAGGATGTGAGTGGCGGAGCTGGGGACATGGGCCCAACGTTTCCCTTCCTCTCTACTTCTCTGTTCTTGGGGAATTCCAAGCTCTGCAGATCAACTCTAAGAAATATGTACCTCTCCCACTCTTTTCTTAAAAACGTATCACACTGACAGAGCCCAGAGCTCTGGAATTCTGAAGGTTGACTCCCTGGATTCCAAGGAGATCAGCCTCCCTCAGTGGAATTGGGCAGAGGGTAGCAGTCATGTGGCTAGGGCAAGGCTGGTTTTTTTTTTGAAGTATAGTTGATTTAAAATGCTGTGTTAATTTCTGCTGTACAGCAAAATGATGCAGTTATACATATATTTCCATTCTTTTTCACATTCTTTTCTATTTATCACAGGATATGGTATATAGTTCCCTGACTATTCAGTAAGACCTTGTTGTTTATTCATTCTATATATACTAGCTTGCATCGGCTAATCCCAAACTTCCACTCCATCTCCCACCCCCCTCCCCCTTGGCAACCATAAGTCTGTTCTCTATGTCTGTGAGTCTGTTTCTGTTTCATAGATAAGTTCATTTGTATCATATTTTACATTCCATATATAAGCAATATCATATGGTATTTGTTTTTCTTTTTCTGACTTACTTAACTTACTGTGATAATCTCTAGGTCCATCCACGTTGCTGCAAATGGCAACATTGCCTCTGCTTGCATGCTTCTTAGAATGGGGAGCTCACTGCTTCCCCACAGCAGCTCATTTTCCCTCTAGGGACATGGTTCTACAAAGGTCTCCAGAACCACCTAGTACAATCTCTCATTCTCTCAATGAGGAAATGAAGTCCCAGCGTTGTCAAAACATTTGTCCAAGGTCACATGTGGCACTCAGTGATGGAGGCATGACTAGAACCCAGGGCTCTGATGCCCAGAGGCTTGCACCCTTCCATTTCTTTGCTATAGAGTCTCGGACAAGGGAGAGATCTCTGCTGGCTGAGAGGTCAAGGAAGGCTTCTCAAAGGAGGTGACATTTGAGATGGTCCTTGAAGGATGACACTAGGTTGTGTCTTGATGTCCAGATTCTTTTTGTCCTGCCCACCATGCCTGTACCCTTCCCGTGATATCTTACACTGAGCATGGCAAACACATGGGGAATAGAAGCTTGTTGACTGAATGAATGAATGAATGAATGAATGGGCAGGAAGGCCACTCCCGGGAATTGAACAGGTACCAGTCCCTTAGGAGCCAAGTGCATCTTGTGGGGACCCTGTGCAGGAAGGGATAAAACTCCACCTGCCTCAAATATGGTGTTCACCACTCCTTTTGCACGCATCTTAGGCAGGACCCAAATCCCTTCATGCCACGAAGGAGTCTTTTTTCTGTGGTTGGCTCAGAGGCTCCATGGTGTTTTCCTCCCCCATGTTTTATAAACTGGGCTGGATGGGAAGACAGGTCATGGCACACACTTGCATGTGGCCAAAGCCCCAGGTCAGCCACCCTCTCCTCCCGCCCCAGCAGGACCAGGGCCACCCCCGGGGCCACCAGGACA